TATATATAATATATATATATATATATATATATATATTATTTTGGTTCCTACATTAAATGCTAATGTATTATAATGTCAATTATCTTAGTTTCTTGCGTCAATGATCATGTGATGAGTTAATAAAAGTGTTGAGTGGCACGTAGATTAACACATTGTAAAATTAATATGGACCAAAGAAAATGTTGGCTTTTAAGGAGTGTGTGCGGTGCATAAGAAGTTTTTTCATGCTTAGAAATAATGGAATTATGTTGTTTTAACACTAAGAAATTATGAATTTTAAAAATTATGATTTTCAATGTTTAGTTCATCATAAATATATTTTTTAAATATTTATATTTTTTACTTAATCAAAGGTTTTTATCATAAAAAATTAGCCAATAATAATAATAATGTGATATTGTTATTGTAGTAAATTTATGTTATATAGAAAATATTCGAATATTAATGTCCAAAGTGATAGGACTTTGTCTTAAACTAAAGTAGCTATATAGTCACGGGTAGTTCAAAGTAACAAAAGGATATTAAAGTCTTTAGATCCAAATCCACTCAAATTCCCCCATTTTTGAATGTAAGTATTATGCATGTGGAACCCACCATAAATTCCCTTAAATCCCCTCTCCTTTCACCTCTAGCAAGCACGGATTTTTTTTTATTTTTTATTTTTTGTAAATATACTCCAATCTGTTCGCCTTCTCCCTCCTCCTCTCAAATTCACTTTTACCATGTAGAGGGTAAGAGTACATTAAAAAGAGAGAAAATATATAAAAGTAAAAAATAAATATAATAGAGAAAAAGGTGAAAAGATACAAAAAAAAAAAAGTGATAAAAAATATTATCTCCAATCTTTTCTTATAAAAAATAAATTATAATATAAAATACACTATAAATTGTTTGTTATAAAAAAGAATTGGAGAAGCATAATTAAAAATATATTGTTTGAATGGATAAAAATATGAAAGAATAATTAAAGAAAACTTCCTCTACTTATTTGATCAAGTAAAAAAAAATATAAAATATTTTATTACCAACTATAAAATTAGTTTTTATTTAATAACTATAAAAATATTTTTTACCCTTACTTTTAATTTTTTATTTTATTTTTGTTATAAAAAATATTAAATTATTTAAGGATTACTCTGTATGCACTTTCTATCCGAAATCATGAGTAAAAAGATAAAATATGATAAGAGCGATCACCCGTGGTTTTGTTTTTTTTACAACTTTCTTCTCAATTCTCCATGTCAACGCAATAACGAGTCTATTTTGTGACATTCCCCCCACTACATTTTTTTAGCATAATGCGTATTATAATTACAAAATGCCACATAATTAGAAATACAATAACCAAAAAAAAAGTGAATTTATAATTTAAGCATTGCCTCCACAAAATTTATATATACAAATATTATTTTCACAATTTAAAATTTCTAGATATGTCACTAATTTTATTTTTATTTTTATAAATGTTTCCTCCCTAAATCACTCCTTTTCAAAATAAACCAAAACATGGTGTTAGAGTGAAAGTTTGATAAACTGATTTTAAATTATTAAACACAAATAAGATGTATATTTAAATTATTTTCATCAATGGGTTTTATATTAAAATGTGTCACGATAAAAGAATGATTTTTTTTTTCAAAGAGGCACGGTTGGAATATCAATTTGGGCGAAAAAATTATCTATGTTAAGAATGCACGCGGGAAAAAAATTGGTTACTGTTCGTTTGTTCACTGTGTCTAATGAGAGAAGTTTATTGCTACCACTCTGCCTAAGGAAGGCGTTATTACTTCATGTACATGCCTACTTCAATACCTTCTGAACACGCAGAATCTGAAAAACGTAGCTTTCAAACATCATCTCACCTGACAACCTAATTTTATCATTATTATGTTTCCCACTCGTCGTGTTCCTCCCTTCGGGCAGCCAAAATTTCTTTTCTGCAAAAGAAAACAGTGTAGCATAGCATGTACATCCACAGGATAAGGATACGTTAACTGAATTTCTTTTCAAAAGCAATCGAAGAACAATAACGGACGAGGGAAATTATATGGATAAATCGCATACCTTCATTTGCAATTTTACATTTAGGAGGAGCTTCAGCATCACAATTGCTCCTGGTGAAAATTTCAGTTTTCTTAGTGTATCTCTTGTAAAAAGTATTGAGAGTGTTGACCAGCCACCAAGCCAAGAGAAAAAGTATATTATATGTAGAAAATTAAGAATAGTCATACTTTATTTTATCTATTTGGCTTTCTTGTTTGTCAGGTTTCTTCAGTAATGATGATATATCCTCGACATGGCCAGAAGAGTCAGCTGTTACAAGACACTCTGTTGCCTTTGGATTTGTGTCCTCTGTGTCTTCACATTCTTGCGCGTGATTCTTGGAAGATGGACCATCTTGTGTTGGATTCTTTTCTGAGGACAATTCATTATCTCCCATGAAAATATCTTGGTCAAAATTTTTTAGTGTGTCTTTTTGCAGTTTCACTTGTCTCTCGCCTTTGCTAACACTTCCCTGCCCTGACATATCAGTAGATGAAGTATCACAATGAAAACCACCAGCTTCTTCAGACTTTCCTTCGAGTGTGTCTTTTTGCAGTTTCACTTGTCTTTCGCCTTTGCTAACACTTCCCTGCACTGACATATCAGTAGATGAAGTATGACAATGAAAACCACCAGCTTCTTCAGACTTTCCTTTGAAAGGCAAATCCGGAGATAAACTTGGGCTGGTTGGCCATGAAGGAACATTGGGGAATGCAGTTGAACAATCAAATGCAAACTTTTCGGAGGTGAAACCGCAAGGAGGAGAATCTGCAAGAGGTGCATCATTTTTTAGTCCACTAAAGGAAGGACTGGCATTGTTACGAAATTCAGGGGTAGTAAAGACCCCAAAAGGATCTTCAATTCTATTATTGGATCTGAAGACTGCAAAATCTGCCTCTAAATCTAGGCGGAATGGATCGGCAACAGAACTGTTATCAACCGAAGCATTTTTTTTTTCCTCAAACTGCCACCAGTCACGCGTACCCAATTCTTCCCGGAGAATAGAGTTTGGGTAATAAGATGGTATTCGCTTTGATGAATTTGGTAAACTTTTGCACTTTTCGTCCTTAGTACTGCACTTATTTCTAGGACTTGCAAAAGCATTTCTATGTTTTCTAGGGCTTACAAAAGCATTTCTATGTTTTCTTCTGTTCTCGCCTGTCAATATTCTTGATGGTGAGTGCGCAGTGGTCTCACTCCTCACTGACATAAAATGCAGACATTCCAATTAGAATAGCTCCTTATGACTATTCATTTGCGTAACCCTAATGAGTTCGCTTTTGTGAGTCTCGGAGAGAGAGAGAGAGAGAAGACGTTATGTTACCGGCAGCGGTTGAGCTTGACTCTTCGCTGACAGAAAGTAGACAAATAGTCAAACACAGGTGACAGTATAAATAAACAGACAAAATAACCATGAAACACAGGATTATTCTGATTTTACCTCAGCAAGCTCGAATTATCCCTTACATCTTCTGGAATTAAATTTTGAGTGTTGAACTTCCCATCTAATCTATAACATTATTGACACCACAAAAACATAAGTAAATGCTCATATGCCAATATAGAGCTTCTAAAAAAAATGCTCATACCTTGCTCTGCCAGCAACATAGAAGTCAAAATCACTCTCTAATTCGTCTTTGGAAAATGAAGACAGTGGCTCTGAACATAAAGAAAAAGAGCATAGAAGTAAACATCATAATGGAATGATATATGTACTATTGTTCCTCACGTCAATATGTGACGGACTCGCATATCAATCAATCAATGAATTCATACATGTCAGATTTTCATTACAAGACATCAGATCAATGAATAAGTGAATCGCATCGACAACTAATCCAGTAGACGAACTTTTGACCTATGACCAGTTACATAAATATGGTATGCTTGGATAGATAAGAAAATAAGATTCAAGTACAAAACAACCACAAGTAAGGCTTTTGTGTTGGAAAAAAACCCGTGACATATTACCCCAAAAGCTAGTCCAGTACTAGATGTAGCTTTTCCCCAAAGAAGATGCCTAATATTTACAACGTGTTGGGCAACAAATTAACGTGACTTGTCCGTGCCATTGGTATTCCAATAATACTTTTAAAACATTGAAGATTCTATTTGATAGTTTAAGGAAGCAAATTGTACCACTCCTGTCGATCTCTTTCATCGCTGTAGCTGAAGACCTGCACAGCCATACATACAAACCATCTTTAAGTAAAAAAATAATTTTACGGGAAACAGGGTATGGTACGCTATAGTCCAGCAATTACCATTTCTTTGGGTGTAGGTCTTCAAAAGCATAATTATCCATTTTGTAGGCCCCACTTTTCAATAATTCAGGAGATTTAGAACCCATTTGAAAACCCTTCTTACCCGAGGCATCGTATCCCATCTCGTTGCCAAATTTCTCATCAAGGAAGCCGGAACATGCTATATTTACACAAGAGGCAGAGAAACATATTTTCAAAATCAAAAAACTAGTCATGTCATTTACTAGAAACACTAACCATCGTGTGACCATGAACTGGGGCCAGCTCTGGTTTTTTATCAGAATCAGATCAAGTATGGACAATACCTAGACAAATGCGGATCGTCCAGACAGGTTTTAATTGAATCATTGACCCAGGAAACCATATTGATACATATTATTATATATGAATGACGCATTTCAGTGGAAAGGAATCTATAAAGCAAGTGATGCGATAGTTCAATCTCTCTAGTGCTGAAAAACCAATGATCCAATCTCTCAAATGTGGTCATTGCAGACAGCCAGGAACTAAGTGTAAAAATTATACAGCTCACGTTTCTTTCCTTCCTTTTCATATTTTACCTTCAATTTTATGTTTTCTTCATATGTCACTGCTACTTTTTTCAAATCTTTTCCGAGGGGGAGGGAGATGTCATTACATTTAATACGACCTTGATATAACAAATAGTTACCCTATTCACAAGAAGTCAGTTGAAGTTACAACAGATGGATGAAGATTTTAGCAACGTGTTAAAGAACAAGGTATTTAAACAAAGCAATAAGATATGACAGAAAAAAGAAAAAGAAAAAGAAAATAGCTATAGATTACCATTCCACAGGTCTTCATCACTATTTTCAGTCTTATAGAAGAATTCTTCACTAACGGAAAGGCCATTTTTGTTAGGAAAGTCATAAAAATGCTTGCCGTTTCCAACAATTGCTGAGCTTCGCCTTACTTTGTTAAACGGGAAGTCCGAAGAACTGATAGGCGAAACCTCGATATCTTGCATCATTGTATCCTATAAATAGTGTCACATTCTATGATCTCAACATCGTTATCAATACAAGACACCCATTATGAATTAAAATAGGCAGAATATATTGAAACTACTGCAAGTACACAAATCAGAGGAACAATAGATCCAAGTCCAACTGTGATCTAATCAAAGTACTAAAGGAGGCAAAAAAGATAAAAGAACGGGGAATGAGGTTCACGAAGTCAAACATGCACGTTGATATCATGGATAAATTGCATTTTACCAAAGGGTACTTTTTTTTCAAGTTCCACAGATTTTTTTATAAAAAAATTTGAAAACAAATTACCCTACTTTGATTAAAAAAATAAAAGCCAATACGGGATGTAAACAAGTTTGTGGGCCTTGCTTGAGCCAATGGTAAGGTACTAAGGTTGCTGTTTTTTATTTTTTTAATAATTAGATTATTAGTACAAAGTATTCACTAACTTTACTGTTAATCTTTATTAAGAAACTTAACTGATCACTCTTAATAGAGTTTCTCCTCCCAACCACATTTTCTTTATCCACAAAACTTGAACCCAAGACTTTATGTAAGGAAATCGAGTCCAATACCACTTGTGTCAATGACTTGTTGGTTAAAAGTTGGTGCTTTGCAACCAAAAGATCATGGATTCAAATGGTGAAAACAGACTCTTTACTCGCCAAGGTAAGGCTGTGTATATGTATACTTTAGGAACCTCATGGATTCAAGTAATAAAAACACGGCTGGCCAAGGTCATGGATTCAATTAGTAAACTAAAACTAGTCTCTTTTAAGGAGGGTAAGTGAAAAGGAATTTTTATTTTTTTTAAGATTATTTGAAAAGAGAGTAACTTGTAATTTTACCCTAATATCTTTTATCAGATCACCGTTACCGGTAATTACTAAATCAGCCATGTCTGCTTAAAAAAGATAGATCCGTTGCCTTAACAATCATGAATCATGATTGTTTAAAATACCATAGCCAAGTGATGACTCACTAAGTCAACTCCTACTGCTTATATATACAAATATGGCTTTTCCAAAGCATTTTTTCCATATATACTTAATTCGTGCATAAATTTCATAACTAAAGATTATGGACTAACTTATGGCTCCACCCATATCAGTGCTTAACAACTTTTCAAACATTTGACATTATGGTATCCTGTCAATCAATAACCATCAACCTCATACTGAAATTTTATACCATGAAAATGGAATAAAATACTGTCTATAATTCACATATAACAATTATGAATAAAAGAAAAGATGTCAATTCTTCAGGCAAAAACTAAATATGGAAGAATTATGTAAGTTTATGTATCACTAATGATTAGCAAATAATATATAGCTTCAGAAGATGCAGATAGCATTACACAAAATGTATGTGCGTGTAAGTGTAGAAAGATGATTTAGATATATGCTTCACCACTTCAAGTTCAATGTCATCCAGCACATGGTTAAGTTTCTTTAGTTTTGATTTCCTTCCATCCTTCTGCAATGGTGAGTATTTGTAAGGAATTCTGCAAACAACAAATTCCCAAACACATTCAAAATAATCACTCTGTCTATATGCCGACAGTCAGTGAAATGCTTGAATGCTTCCAACACTTTTTTAAGGACAACAGGTGAGCTTATATGCTCATTAAATATTGTCAACCCCAATCACACGTTGGGAATACTACGTATTCAAGGTTAGCAGAATACTCTTACAGAAAGAAGGAACGAACGAGTGAACTATCCAAAAAGTATCAATTTAATTACCTAGCCCGATGTTCTGGTGAATGAACTGGCGTCTCTATCCCAACTTTACCCAAACCTAGAAGGATTCAGTTTATGTTATATATGGAAAAAAATTTAAACATACAATTGGATAAACATTGTCATGTATAAAGGTTCACTTTTTCTGAATGTGAAAGTACATCATGCAATCATCTAAGAAACAGGACCATTAAGAACAGACATGTATTGAAACATATAAATTGTGAATACAACACATTAATTTGAGCAACAAAAAAACAAACAGAATGTTTTAAGATACCAAGTTCCTGAGGAAGGAACTAGTATTAAAAAAATTCTGGTTTTGTTGCTACATTTGAAGATCACAAATTTAACTATTATCATCAATTCTTCACTTCCATTATAATATATTATGTTCACGATTAAAGAAACGAAATTCAACCATCACCTTTGTTTCCCACCAAAATTAAAAGGAAAATATATAGGGGTGTTCATGAGTTTGGACAATTCGATAAAATTGATAATTTGAACTAAGCCAATTAAGTTGGTTCGTTTTTTTTCCTTAATCAAATCAAATCCAATCTAAATTAATTAAATCCAACTTTAATGGCTTCGGATCATGGATTTTCATTTTGCAAATCTGATGATCCAAAATTGTTATTATTATTTTATAGTATTACGATTTTATTAATAACACATAAATGCAACACTTTTATACTGCACCAACACTCTAACAATACAATTATAGTAATTTTTTATGATATTATTATTATTATTATTCAATATTAATATATTTTATAATATTATTACTTTATTAATTACTGTGCACTCACTTACCAGTTACATAAGATTCATAGCTAGACTCACGCTGCATGCTCTCTGGCCAATTGACTTTGTCACTTTCTGACTAGTTTTGGAGCCATTGTTCACTTCATGTTAGTCCAACCATTAGACTTAATATTAAAAAAAAATTAACATTTATTTTCACTTAATATATTATTTGCATATTGACATTCAAGTTGAGAAAAAAAAAAGCATCAAAGTTACTTAGATAATAATTGTAACTTAGACAATTTAGTTATATTTGAAAGACTATCTTAGTTTTAAACATCTATCATTTTTTTTCTTCTAGAAAGACAGATTAAATCAAACCAAATCAACCTACTGTTTATTAATTTGGTTTGGTTTGCAATTTTTTTTTTTGGTAAATTCAATTCAAACCAAACCAATCAAAATTCAAACCAATCAAAATTGATTGATTTGGACTTTAGTTTACCTCAAATCCAAACCAAACCAGTCCATGAACACCTCCAACAAATATCCATGCATTTTGTTGATCAGCATATAACAATAATCACAGTGATGCTCCGAATAACACAATATGAAGAAACGTGAAAAGCAATGAGTAAAAGGCAAAATATACCTTCAAGTGAAAAAGAAACATGATCTTCGCATGTTGGAAACTTTTCTGTAGTGGCATTAGACTCGTCATCACAAAGCAAATCAAGAACAGATAATTCCGAGTCTGCGAACAGCGACAAATCAATAGGTGAGAGTGAGAGGATGAAAGTAAGAAGGAAAATGGCCAGTCTGATGATATTTAAAATAATGTTAAATAAATGGGTTTAACTTCTGTGCACTATCAATGAGAAAATTTTTACACTATGGACCAATTAGAAGGTATAACTTTTAAAATATAATTATTGTAAAACTCAATACATTGACCTTATGACTAACAATATAAAATCCATTTACACCGTCGGTTTATACCTAATTTACTAAAAATTAACTCCAGTGTTATATGTCCTTGAAAGCAAAATCGCTGATATAATCTAAATTTTACTATAGCAAGAAACACAGTCCCGATATACGTTTGTTGTATATATATATAATATGTTGCTTACATTCATCAGTTACAGTCTTCCAGTGATTTTGGGGTCCACTGAAAGCAGTATTCTGGTGATCGGGAGCCCTCCTGTCAAGTAAGAAAAAGTATTAATCCTTTGAATGGTGAGAAATAAGCGCAAGTTTGGCGAAACAAATAAGTAGTGGTTGCAGGTTGAATAACCAAGCCAATCCGATTAGAAATAAGCCCCTTGTAATTTCATCACATTCGTCCGAGTCGAAAAAGAAGAAAAAGATCTAGAGAAGCGGGAAAAGTCTGGAAGTAAATAAGGGGTGAAACAACCAAAGCAAACCAATGAAACGTTTGGTTCGTTTGCAGTTCTGTCATTTGGTTTATCTTTAAATTTGTTTTGATTAGTTTGATCCAGAGTTCTAAAAATTTCTAAGCCACAAACTGAACCAACTCAACTAATAAAATTATAAGTTTTGAACCATGCTAATCCAACGCCCGCACGCCAATAGAAAGAATGAAAAAGGCATAATGGACTCAGAAGCAACCCGTGAATGCATGATATGTTTGGCATTTGCTTCTAGCTTTGTTGAGAACACCTTTTATATGTTTGCTGGCCATGGATGTGTTACTATGTGGAGCAATAAGTTAGAAGAAACAAGTGAAATCAAGCATGCAAGTAGGCAATGCAGTCCTTCTCCGACCTCATGAAGAGCCCCTTCGGTCCATTCAATTGCTTTAGGATTAACCAGTAACGTAACAAAGTAGAAGGCTCAATAACAAGAACGTGTAAAAGTAATTGTCACTCACTTATTTGGTGATGTTTCAGTCTGGCAGCACAAAGGTGCCTCTACTTCTGTACACATTCATTATATATTTCACATCTCAGTTCCAAATTGCATTTAAATGAAAACAGTCAAACTTGACAGTTTTTACTGTTGGCTACTGTACTAGAGCACATACTTGCCTCTTCAACTCTGCAACAATTTACAGTAGTAGTATCCAAATTGGTAAACATTGTTGGCTGATTTGTTGAGACACTGCCTGGCATGGTAGAAATACAGACTTCTCCATCATCCCTCCCTTTCATTATTGTACAAGTAACATGGTGGGAAGTAGATAATTTTAGTAAACAGGACATAAGCTAGAAAAGAAACAGACAAGGAACATGAAGCGATCAAGACAAATGAAACAAAAAGAAGTATTAACAACATAATTTGGCCAAGAATCATTAATCCTAATAAATCCTTTTCCCTGCCATATCACTTGGCTTTCCTTCAGGAAGTCTATCAGAACATGAATTTTTTGAGCCTAATGACTATTTGCCAGAAGTCCGGAATTGGCAGCCAGGTTTTAATATAGCAGAAAAATAACCATTTTGGCTAATTGGTGAAACAACAAACATGGGAAACAAAATGAAAATGAGTGGATAATGCAAAGCATCCACGTGCTATTTTCTCAATTGCTCCAAATCTCATGAAGAAACTTTTTCTCTCTATTGTAAATAAATGAAGATCCTTGGTAGGTTTGGAAACATTTAATGCAACAGTCAACAATAAATAATCCTCCATTAGCCAGAAATAGTCCAGGATTCATGAATGATTCAAGCATGACAAGATAGGAAAACTACTTAATTGATCAATGTACGCTCCAATAAAAACAGTGTTTTACAAATCTTGCTTGTCAAGACTGTAGATACTGCAGCAGCAAAATTCAGAAAGAAGATCCAATGCTTACCCTTCGCACAGAATGGATTGCATTGCTGAGCATTCTTTGACAAGTTTAGCAAATTAAGAATGTCCAGAGACCGATGTTCCTTGAGGTCTTGTCCACTTATTCCAAGACTATCAAAACAGTTATCTGACCCAACCATTTGCGGATTCTGTTGTTGACGCTTCCTTTGTTCAAAGTATTGCTTCTGCCTGATGGAAATAAGGAGTTCATTACAATTCCACCAAATTTCAGCATAACCACTCTTCCCAGACTCAACCAACCAAACTCCATAGAGATGATAAGTAACACTAACATCTGACTTTTACCTCTTCTGCATAGACTTCCTTGACTGAAAAATTCCCATCCCAGCGTGAGTGATTAACATGCATCAAATAGATACAATTTTGGACATCAGAAGAAAAAAACGAACATTTTTCAAATTTAAAATTTGCAGTGGCATGTCAAGCCAACTGTGTCTGCTTCAAACCACGAAAATCATATATCCAATTTGCACCAAAAGCAATGACTAGTATTTTCTACTTTCTTTTTTTGCTTACTCAGGAAACTACATGATTTCCATGAACGAGTAATCAATTTACAGAGTAAATCATCTTCTGAATCAATGCAAGTCATCATTTCAATGCAAAAACATTACGTTGTCCTATAAAATACTGTTAATCCTTCAAATAATATATAGGTTTTGTTTCTCCCTAATTATACAGAATGTCGCAATTTGATTGAAAGTATATTGCAGTGTGCATCTAAGAACATTCAAATTTCAGCAAAAAATCAAACTCACAGCAGTGACTTTCCTCCTGGATCCTCCCATCCATTGCAACATCGTGTGTGCAGGACGCGATCTACAACCTCACACGAGACAAAGCAGAACCGCAATGTTCAAATCCATTCCAAATTTCGATTTAAAAATAATATATATATATATATATATATAGATATAGATATAGTTTAAAAAACAAACGGTACTGTCATCGGGAGAAATTCAGAACGCGAAAATGTGATGTGAGAGAGAGATTTTGCAACTACCGAGAAGAAGAAGAAGAAGATGACGACCTGTAACGGCGAATCGAGATCTGAATCTCTGTTTTGGAGCGGAGTGAAGAGAAGATGATCAGTGAAAGGTGGAGCTGAAGAACCTTGTGTTTCTGTGAAACCGAAACTTTCAACTAGAATGGCACCGCGGGAAGAAACTGAACTAAGCAGCTATATAAAGGAATTTTAGTTTATATATTAAAAAACTTACATGCTACATAAAATTTACTCAGGTTATATATTTAATGAGTTCTCTAAATAATATTAATTTTGAATATATTTTTAGTTCTTTAAATTTAAAGTAAGTTTATTTTTATTCTTTTAATTTTAAATTATTATTTTTAGTTTTATAATTTTTAAAAATTTTGTTTTAATTTCTTAAATTACCAATAATACATTTAAAAGTGATAAATTGAAATTATTATGTAATATCATCTGATTTTTACTAACATAAATATTATAAGTAGATTTTACCTTTTATAAGAAATTTACTTACTTTTTCGGCATCCATTGCTTACTCTTTTCAGCTTCTGTCTTATATCAGGCAAACTTATCATAAGTTCTAAGAACCGGAAATACTGGATCAAATTTCCATAGCGTTCTGTTGTACAAGATCCTCTAAAAGAGGCGAGTACAGAGCATACTTGCTTCAATCATATGTTACTGAGACCATAATACTATCATAGTATCAAGAGCTTTCGAGAGAGAGAATGAGAAGTAATTTAGAAATCCATGAGTAAAGAAACATGAGAGTCTTTATTTCTCCAATTTGAACTTGGTTTACAATCTGAGAGAGTGCCTCCTTATATAGACTTGGAGGAGTTCTCTTTATGATAAGTGGCCGACATCTTTTACACTAGGGCCAATCCTATTGGCTAATTAAAGGATAAGCATGAAAGACCTCATGGGTCTAACTCATATAAACTAACAAACTAGTCCGACTAAGATGATAAAAACGAATAAAAGAGAGGGACCCACATGGGTCTGACTCACTCAAGACACCAAACTAAATTACACACTTTATCATACAAATGGTGGCAGATAGTACATAAAGCAGATTCTCATTATTAATCTCCTTTAATGATAGGCTCGTGACTAGGAGAGAGATTCGGATCTGATGCGTCTGAATCTGAACAACTGTTCATCCTTGATTCGTCATAGTAGAGGTCTTCATAGTTTTCTCCTAGGTCATTAGCTGTCTGGAACTGTTCATCAGGAACGTAGAATTCAGTCCTGCTCATAAAAGCTTTGATTCCCTGATGACTTGACTGAGAAGGAATTAGATGATTGTGTGATGAACTGGTTTCATCTCGGCTCTTTTAATGGATCCTTGTGTCTTTGAGATGGTTGATCAATTGTGTCTTATAACTCTGATCTGGAGGGTATGTCTCAAAAGTTCCCCAAAGATAAGCTTCATTTTTGGACCAGAGTTGTCCAGTAGGCTTCTGAAAATAAAAGTGACTGATGATGGCAATGGAAGTTAGGGACTCACATTGTTTCCTAGTCTTTCCCTTTTGGTTACATTGAAAATTGAGAATCTTTTTTAACTCACATCTCCACCATTTCAGAGGTGAAAACCATTCTAATAAAGTCCAGAATAGATAATCATTCTTATCTGGATTTATCAGAATATCATAAGTTGACTGTGTCCTTAAGGCAATTGAGATTGGATTTTGGACAGTTTTACACCATATGGCCCAAAGAGTTGGTTCAGACAGATCCTACCCAATTTCGCAGAATAATTCGAAGATCCCAGAGTGATCTTCTGTAGGGTCAAACATGGATGGAGGAATTATTTTAAATCTTAAAGTCTCATGAAAATAATAAAAATAATGGGCTTTGGCAAACTGGATAATTTCTTCAGGACTGTTTGGCTCAAGACCAGGAGGATATAGCTTTCTGGTTTTTGTTGTATCAAGTAAAAGTTTTACTATGAAAATCAATGGAAAGCTATGGGAGGATGATATTACAAAAATTGGTTTTCTGAGGTCTTGAAAGGAAGTCAGGGATGAGGTTGTGTTTTCCTTTAATGGTGGCAGATAGTACATAAAGCAGATTCTCATTATTAATCTCCTTTAATGATAGGCTCGTGACTAGGAGAGAGATTCGGATCTGATGCGTCTGAATCTGAACAACTGTTCATCCTTGATTCGTCATAGTAGAGGTCTTCATAGTTTTCTCCTAGGTCATTAGCTGTCTGGAACTGTTCATCAGGAACGTAGAATTCAGTCCTGCTCATAAAAGCTTTGATTCCCTGATGACTTGACTGAGAAGGAATTAGATGATTGTGTGATGAACTGGTTTCATCTCGGCTCTTTTAATGGATCCTTGTGTCTTTGAGATGGTTGATCAATTGTGTCTTATAACTCTGATCTGGAGGGTATGTCTCAAAAGTTCCCCAAAGATAAGCTTCATTTTTGGACCAGAGTTGTCCAGTAGGCTTCTGAAAATAAAAGTGACTGATGATGGCAATGGAAGTTAGGGACTCACATTGTTTCCTAGTCTTTCCCTTTTGGTTACATTGAAAATTGAGAATCTTTTTTAACTCACATCTCCACCATTTCAGAGGTGAAAACCATTCTAATAAAGTCCAGAATAGATAATCATTCTTATCTGGATTTATCAGAATATCATAAGTTGACTGTGTCCTTAAGGCAATTGAGATTGGATTTTGGACAGTTTTACACCATATGGCCCAAAGAGTTGGTTCAGACAGATCCTACCCAATTTCGCAGAATAATTCGAAGATCCCAGAGTGATCTTCTGTAGGGTCAAACATGGATGGAGGAATTATTTTAAATCTTAAAGTCTCATGAAAATAATAAAAATAATGGGCTTTGGCAAACTGGATAATTTCTTCAGGACTGTTTGGCTCAAGACCAGGAGGATATAGCTTTCTGGTTTTTGTTGTATCAAGTAAAAGTTTTACTATGAAAATCAATGGAAAGCTATGGGAGGATGATATTACAAAAATTGGTTTTCTGAGGTCTTGAAAGGAAGTCAGGGATGAGGTTGTGTTTTCCTTTAATGTGTTTAACAGTGAAATCATACCTGGAAAACCAATCTTTCATCCTCAAGATCTGAGGTTCAGGTGGTAGCTTATTCTTGAAATCTAGGATTTTTGGGAATGAGGAATTGTCCATCTGGACTTCAAAATGTTGTCCTCTCAAATAGAAATCAAACTTTTTGATTCCATTTTTTACTGCCAGTGCTTTTTTGTAGGTGGTGTGATAATGCTTCTCTGCCTCTTTGAATTGTCCACTAGCATGTCCACAATAGAATTTCTTTCCATGAATTTCTTCAATGAATACTGCTTCCCAGTAATGATCACTAGCATCAGTCTGGATAATCCTTTTTCCATTCCCTGGGATTTTTAATGCAGGAGGATTTGTACGATTTTCTTTATTTCTTGGACAACTTGAGTTTGTTCCGGTCCCCATGGAGGGGGATCTTTCTTTAGCATCTTTGAGAGAGGACTGGTGTATGCAACAACTTTGAGAATGAAATCCCGAATATAATTTAGGATTCCCATAAATTGTTGAATTTGCTTGACAGTTAGATTTTCCTCAGGAAAGTTGAGTAATTCTTTGGCAATATGGGGTTGAGGCTGATAAGTTCCTTGAGAGAACTTCATACCCAAAAAATTAATTTCTTGTTGGGCTAGCTGTATCTTCTTCTCTGAGAACATGATTCCATGCATATTTGCTCTTTCCAAGAATTTGTCCAAAAGCTTCTTGTGACTCTCCATATCTGTGGAGAACAAGAGAATATCATCGATGTAGATGATAACATTATCTAGGAGAGGTTCAAATATCCCTGTCATTGCCCTTTGGAATAGTGAAGGTGCTACCTTCAAGCCGAAAGGTAAGACAGTCCACTGGTACTGCGCATTGGGTATGCAAAAAGTTGTTTTGTGTCTTTAGCTGGGTTCAATCCCTAACTTCCAGAATCTGGATTTGAGATCAAATTTGGAGAAGATGTTGGATTTTTTTAGCAAAATAGGCAAAGAAGAAGTCTTTGGGAGAGGAAACTTATCATCCCTCAAGAAATGATTGAGGGGTTTGTAGTCAATGACTAATCTCTTTTTTTCTCTGAGTCTTTCTGATCTTTTTTCTACATAGAAAGCTTGACATGCCCAATTTGATTCAGTAGTTTCTATGAGACCTTGTCTGAGCAGTTCCTGACATTCTTGTCTAGCTAGCTTAAGATCAGATGGAGACATGCCTGGGTGAGTTACTTTTGTAGGATTTACATCCTCGTTCAACTTGAATGACAGTTGTATGAAGAAATCAGAATTTTTCCAGAGTGGATTTGGATGGGTGAAATCCTCATAGGTATTAGAACATAAAGATTTTAACTTTATCTTGAATTCAAGAAATTAAAAATATATTTAAATCTTTTATAAATTATATATTTTAAAATATTTTTATTTTATAACATTAAGTATAAAATAGTTCATAATAAAAATTAGTCAATACTTCTAATATTAAATATTTCATACTAATATCATAGTTAGTTAATAAAAAAAAGTTAGTTAATAAAAAAAGAGTATAATAAAATGTAATTTTATATAAGCCTTGTAATATATATATATATATA